ATGGGGAGTGCAGTAGTTTCCACACTACCAGAATCTCTAGAACTCTTCCTAGGGTGTCCATAGTTAGATGCTGAGCCTATTCATAAGGCTAGTTCCTTTGGTCATCCTGTGTCTTAACAAAAGGGATGAGAAAGAAATATCCCCAGTCGTAAAGAGTCACCCTGCTAGCCCACCGCACTTGATAATTACAAGTTGCCTGGGCATACTGAGCGGAGGAAACAATGTCTACAAAAAGCTAACCCGGAAAGACAACACACTTCTTCCAGTATGTCCTTGTCCAGTTATAAAAATAACTGAGCAGTACCCTGGGTCCTTGGTAAGCAGTTTTTCCTGTTTCCTCACTTTTTCTCAACCTTACTACCCTCCTCCTCCTCCAACACACACACACACTCTCTCTCTCTCTGAAACTACAAAGAAAAAAACTTAGCAAGGGAAAAAACACTAATAAACCACAAGAGTTCTTTCGCGAGGTTCTCAAATTTTAGCAAGTTACTTTTCTCCCCCTCCAAGATTCTCCAAACCCAGACCCTCCACAGACAGCATTGCATTCTCGACCTTAGAAAATCTGATGAGTTACTGAAACTTGCCACCCCTTCTAAAGAGAAGGTGGTCCCAAGCAATCCCAAGAATCTATCCATTCCATGTTTCAACTTTGAGGGGTTTTTGGTTGTTGTTTTTACTTTCAAAGACCCTGCTGGGTATTTGGGTAAGTAGCATCCCTACAATACACTGGACCTCGCTTCTGTCTCCATCCACCACATCACCAGGTCAACCAGAAACCTTGGCAGACAATGATGCTTCATCGGATTCTCTGCCACATACACTCGCTTATCAGCTCGGCTTGGAGGAAGTGCTCTTAACTGGTTCGGCTTGCACTGATCACACTTCAGCAATAAAGGCCTGCATCTGGCAGGAGTTCCTGCCTTCCAAGTCATCGTGGGTTGGGGCAGACAAGTTCGGGTGGCTCCTACATTTGCCCTAGAAGGGAGTAAAGTTCCACCTCCTCTCTGGCTTCACGCCGCCCGGATAGAAAGCGTCTAACAGTTGCAAGGGCTCTCCCGCTGCCCCCGCCCCCGCCCCCACCCCGATAGAGGAAAGGGCCCCAGGCCGGAGGATGGGAGGCGGTCCTGTGGCCTCAACCTCCTCTAGGGAGGGCACCGCGCTTCCTCTCAGCGGCTGCTGCCTCATTTCCTGAACAGAAGGAGGGAGCGGAAAAGCTGCCAGCAGGCCAAGTTGGGGGCTTTCCGGCGGTTCCCACCCGCTACCCAGTTCTGCCCCTCCTAGACCAGAGAAGCACCCACCCACTCCTACTCGTTGGGCCGGAAACCTCAAGAGCAAGTCTCCCCCTTCATCTGGAAATGGGGGAGGGAGAAGCCGCTGAGCCCCTCCCCCGGCCGCACCCGGCTCCGAGGGACTGAATGAATGAGCTGGGAGGAGGAGGAGGAGGAAGAAAACCACTCCCCAGGCTCCAAAGTGGCTCGATTCCTTCAAAGGTCAAGCCTGCTCCCCCGATCACCCCACTTCTCCCCTCGCCCATTTGCTACCCTACTGCAGCTGAGCCCCACCCAACCTCCGGGCTCCAACTTCATCTCCGAAACTGCTGACTCCCTGAGAACCAGGCTCTACTGCAAGAGACCCGATTCGAGATCCCGGGTGCTCCCGCGCCTGCCCTTCCCTCCTGGCGCCTCGCCCTCTCCGTACCTGTTCCCGGGCCCGCCTTTCCCCTTCCACTTCCCGCTGCAGGCGCTCGGCCCGCTCCTCAGCATCGTCGGCCTGCTGCTGCAGAACCTGGATCTTGCGCTTCACCGCCTCGATGGTGGTGATCCCGGCCATGCTGCCCACCCAGCTTCTGCTCCCGCTCCGGTTCCTGCCTCCTCCGCTCGGCGCAGCAGCGGCTTCTCACCCCTACTTCCGCCTGCTCCGCCCTGAAATACCGGAACTCACCCACCGCCCGGACGTGACGTCATGGCCGCCGCGCCCGCTCACCGCCCAGCGGGCGGGAAGGCAGTGCACTGGACGGGCACGCGAGGCCGGAGTAAGGGGCGGGGCTCCGCAATCGCCCCAGGCGACCACCCCGGCCCTTATCCCTGGGGCGCCGTTAAAGGGGGGCGGGGTTGGGAAGAGGAGGGATTACTATGGCAACCGGAAAGGCGCGTCGTAGAGTTAGCCTCTCCGTCCCGGCAGGCTGTCCTGTCCTGTCCTTACACACCCTCAGTTGATCTGCTGGCCGGCCGCCACTTACCTGCACAGGGCGTCCCTGTGCCCTCTCCCCAAGGTAGACCTCCTACAAGCCTCCGCTTCCGCCCACTCCACAACAAGCTTCAAGACCAGGTACTAAGAAGAGCCTAAGAGACTTCCTGGGCCTCATCTTCCAAAGAGCCTCCTTTTGTAGTTGGCTCAGGTAGGTTCTCTCTCATGCCGGAAAGTCCAGGAAGGCAACTCTCAAGAGAGATGAGATGGGCAAGTTGGTCAAGTTCTCCTTCTGCCAGTTATGGACTTAGATATTCCTTTTAGAATACTGGGATCTTTTTGCCTGTGACTCTTGAGGGTCCGTATGCACCAGTGATTAACAGACCTACCAGCCCTTCCAAACCTAAAAGGATTCAGGTCTTGCGAATTCATCAGCTCTCTTTCGGAAATGAGGACGTATTGTATACCTTCATTACATCTGGAAGGAATCCTCGATTGCGGCTCACAATGACCAGATCCTTCGTGCAGGAGCGAGGAGGCCCTTGGTGTAAGAGCCTGCCAGGTGAGCCTCCAGTCTCTTGCACCTTTGCATCCATTTCAGTCGCTTTTATTTCTTGTCTCACAAGCGGCTCTTTGTGAGTTAGAAATTGTCCCCACAAGCACTTGATGCAGGACTTCAGGAAATCAATAGTAAAGAGACCTGAGGGTTACACTACCTTCCCTCGCCTTTGATTTTATTTCTCCCATTTTACCAGTAACCAGTGATAACTCTCTCCTCTGTGCAACCCTTCTCCCTAGAGGAGGAGGGTGAGGAGCAGCACTTAGAGATGAGACTCTTAATCCCTGAAATATAGGTGTGGCCGCAATGCCTCGTTCTGAGGAGACTGCCTCCAGAGCGTCTGTCTTCTCTTTCCTTTTGGAAATATTAAATAATAAGACTAGTCAAAGGAAACATCTCTGGTAGACAGCAAGGAATTTGCTCCGTAAACTGCACACCTTGATATTCCGTGTCCCTTGCCCCCCTGAAGTGGAGAGAAGGAACCGGGTTCTGAACCTCAGTAAGCTCTCCATGATGGCCTAAGAATGATTCCAACTTGTTCCGAAGTCTGATTGGAGAGATCATAGTCGCCAGTGAGCCTTGGTTATGAGTGCTTACCAGCAAGGGGGCGCTATTGCACCTCCCTGCGCCTTAGTGACCAAGCAGCGGAAGACCTCATCCTAGATAAACCAAGAGTTGAAAGTATGTGGTTGCATTACTGGGGTTGGTGAATTTGATGAATGAATAAACTCTTCTTGATCTAGAGCAGTGGTTCTTAACCTTTCTAATGCCATGACCCTTTAATACAGTTCCTCATGTCGTGGTGACCCCCCCCCAACCATAACATTATTTTCTTTGCTACTTCATAACTGTAATTTTGCTACTGTTATAAATCAGGCGACCCCTGTGAAAGGGTTGTTCGACCCCCAAATGGGTTGCGACCCACAGGTTGAGAACTGCAGGTCTAGAGGAACAAGTAGGCTGCTTGCTGAGAGCCTTTCTAAACAGGATAGATGGGCGTCAAGGAGCCTAGTTCTGTTGTTGTCCTGCCACCTCTGATACAACAATCATCAACACGTGTATTTCTCCTTGTCTGTGCTCTCCCACCCCTCACCCTTTCCTAAAGGTGCCGTGACTTCATGCCCTAACCATTGTTTTCCTTACTAAAAATCGCTGATTCCATCTCAGATTTAAAATACCATACACTTGAGGAGTTAAAACAACAACAAAACACTAAAATTTGCTTTAATCTTATCATACCCTTGGCCCTTTCTTCTAACGGTTCTAGCAAACCGTACACTTTCCCAGAAAGGCTTCCCACATAACCAGGAACTCCCGTGGAAACATGCAGTTACTAACTCCCTCCTCCTTTCCCTGCCCATACAGCTACATTAAAGTAATATGCTCTGTTGACTGACATTAATCTCAAGGGCAAAAGCTGAGCTGTGAGCTTCCTTTGTATTAGATAAGCACCCTCTCCCAAAGATACAGGTACGGCACTGCTGACGACTACCCCTTTTCTAGCTGGTCTCACAATTATCTTTGTGGCATTTTCAAGGTTGAGAGGGAAGAGAATTGGTGACTAGGGGATAATATGAAGTGGAAAAAGGATTTCAAATGTGAAAATGTCAGCCCTAGAGAAGCCGAGTAATTGACTGAAGGCCATAGAGGAAAGTCCAGTAGAGATACTTTCACAATCTAAGATTCCTTTGTCACTTCTATTACAGACCCACACTGATGGCCTATACACACTGCCTCCTATGGCATCTCTGTGGCTTGAGATCAGATGCCCAAATGGGCCAAGATAAATAAACCCATACAGGGCCAAGGTCAGGGTGACCTCCTTGGTCCCATTGTGAAATCCAAGCTGGCTTTGTTGGGTAGCTGGAGGATGAGAGATTCCCTATTAATATACAGAGCTACATGCCAAGCCTTGGACACAAAGGCTAAGAATGTGTCGTGGGGGAGGGGGCCCTGGGATAAGTGATAGCTGTCTGGATCTGGAGTCCCCCTTTTTCTGTCCAATTCTTGGGAAAGATAGTTTAATTCCTGGGCTGGCAAAAAGATAAGATATCTACTGTTTCTAAGCAAGAAAATATATGCCATTACAAGAGTGTGTCAGCATGTGGTTAGAGGCAAAGATGTATATGAGTGTGTGCGAATGTCTATCTATGACCCCACGATTTGTCAAAGTGTGTTTGGAGGTCAGCAATACATTCACATTAAGATCTATAGGTGGAAATTAACCCCCCCACACCTCTCTAATACTTACATCAGCTGCCTTCTTCTCAGCCAGCTCCAGTTTCTCCTGGGCATCCTTCAAAGCCTCAGAATACTTGTCCAGCTCATCCTCAGTCCCTTTCAGCTTCTTCTGCATGGCTGCCAGCTCATCTTCCAGCTGGAGGAGCCCAAAGTCAGACACAGACACAGAAATGCAGCTTGGGGCCCTGGAGCCCTGCTTAACACCTGGGCCCAGCTCTAGGTTACCATCGCACATGACAAAAGAGACACACTTTTCCCCAGCCATTTCCAACTTCACTCCCCTGAATTACGCTTTACTCTTGGCCAGTGACCCTGTGTTGTGTGACTTAAAAATGCCCAAGGCATGCTGGATTTTCATTTCACGACCCTGGCCTCCAGTATTGAAGGGCTTAGATACCTGTGGCTCTGTTGAAGGGCAAAGACATGACACATGCCAAGCTCCCACCTTTGCCCAGACTCTTCCAAAAGATGGTCCATTCCCACTTCAATCCAGCAGACCAGGTGGCTGGCTATAAGGGGTCACTGACTTTCACAAGGTCATGCAGGTGTCTGAGGCAGAGACCCCACATGTCTTCTGTCCCTCCAGTGACGGTTGGGAAGAAGTATCCTTCCTGCCCAAAGAAGGAGCTGGCACCATTGGGCACTGCTTTTCCCACACAAACCCTCCCATTTCCCAGTCTTATCCACCAGCAGGTAACAGAGCTCAGTGCCAGCGCCCACCTGTTTACTTCTCTCCTCTGCCTGTTTCTGCTCAGCTTCAGCTTGTTCGGCACGATCCAAAGCGTTCTCCTTGTCCAGCTTCAGCATCTGCATCTTTTTCTTGATGGCCTCCATCATGAGCAGTGGTTGTCGGCCTCACCTGGAGACTAGGCCAAGCAGGGAAGGCTGCTGCCTCAACTGACTGCAAGTTTCCCAAACTTGACCCTTTATCTCTGTTCATGGCTCCACCTCTTCTTCCTAATATGGCCCTTGTAGCTCCCTCCACCCCCATCATTATTCTCCTGGGGGAAGGCAGGGTGAGACAGTTTAATGAACTGACATCACCGGGAAAGAAACATTTGGGAACAGCTGAGGCTGGTTTTAGACAATGGAAAGTGGGGGAGGGGAAACGCTCCCTGTCCCTAAAACTTTCCACTGAATCCAGGGAACTCTATTGGTGTTTCACATGAGCAGGGGAAGGGAAAACCATGAAGTCGGTTTAGAGAAGGGTACTTGGGCAAACTGAGAGCCGCACCGGGTGTTCACCCAAGGGTCTCAGCTGCCTGTCAGCTCTCCTCCTTTCACGCAGACCGAGTTGGGCGCTGATCAGACTCCACTGTTGGAGTTATTGCTCTTGATCCCTGGTCTCCAGGGAGCTTGGGTTACGGGTGAGGCAGGGACGTCACTCAGAATCCTTAGCAATTCCCCTAGATCCCTAGATCAAATGGCTTTGCTATTTTAGGAGCCCCTAATGAACAGAGGGACACCGTGCCTCCCTGTTAAGAACCACAGCGATGACCATAAGAAGGTCGGCTGGACTCTGGAAGGCCATCGCAGAGCTTAGAGTGGGATGGAGAGAGAGTAGGCTAGGGTCAGAAGGAGCCACAGAGGACCATGCTTAGCTTTCCCATACTACCACCACCACCATTTTATATATATATAAAATAACCACTGCCATCAAGTCTAGTCTGACTGTAGCAACCCCAAATAGGGCTTGGGAGACTGTCCATCTGGCCAGGTGCAGACAGCTTCCTTTCTCCCAAGGAGTAACTGGTGGGCTTGAACGGTGCCGGCCTTGGGGTTAGCAGCCCAGTGCCTAACCCATAGTGCCAGTCATCAGAGCATCTTCGCTTTCCCAGAGTTATCTTTAAATAGAACTGTTGTCCCCACACAGACAGACCAATGCCAGCGCTGCTCTCGACTCTTCTCTCCTTCACCTCCTGCCCTCTCCTCTTCCTCCCTACCTTTCATCAAAATCCTCCTCAGAGACTCTCTTCTCCTGGCCAAGTTCCCGGCCATGCCCACTCTTCCACTCGGATCTTCATTGAGGACAGGTGGCACTTGAGCCCACATAAACCCTGCAAATATGCCAAAAGAGAGGGGAGGCACTGTTCAAGGTGACCAGAGCTCTCAGGAGAATATGCACGGCTCGGATTAATCATTACTCTAAACAAGCTACAGGCAGTGTTAAGGCTAAGACCCAGCCATGAAGAAATGGAGATGGCCGCTGAGGCAGAGGACAAACGGGGAGTCCACTCCTGAGAACTGAGACCTTCCAGTCCCTAGAGGTAGACGGGCAGCTAAACCATCAGCTGAGTCTTGAAGGGAAGTTGAGAGACCTAAGGCTGCAGAGACCAACCAGAGAAAAGGACCAGAAAGCAAGAGTCCTCCCAGGGCTGGGAGTAGGAGAAACAGTGGATGAGAAGAAGGGATGGGGACCTGAATAAGGAGAAGGAAAATATAAAGAAAAGACAAGATAGAAAGCAAATGTTTTGAGAATGATGATGGCAATAAATGTGCACATGTGCTGGACACAATGGATGCATGTATGGATTGTGAGAAGTGTTGTACGAGCCCCCAATAAAATGATTAAAAGAAAAAGAAAAGACAAGAAAGAGAGAGAATATTTCTTTTCATAAGGGGGCAGGTTACAGGGTTCAATTCCTAAATTCCAACTCTCACCCTGCTCCCACCACAGCCCTCCAGTTTAAGGCTGAAATCTTCATGGATTATGGCCACTGGTCTTCCAGAAGGGGCCTTGGAGAGAAGAGATTCGATCTGTCTCAGTAGAAAAGGTAGATGCTCCAGAGGTTGAGGGATGAAAGGGCGTGATGCCGAATGGCTGACCGCTGTAAGAATATGTTTGACATTTAGTTGGCTCCTAATTCAACAACCCAATATCAAACATATCACACAGAAGCAGGCTAAGGGCTTTCATGGTCATTTATCTTTCTCCCGCTGCAAAGATGAGCCAGAGCCGAGAACCCAGGCACCAGTCATGGCTAGATGAAAAGGCATCTCTTGAGGGAAGATCATTTGCCCCAGCTCTTCACCTCCCAAGATTAGCAGGCTCTTGCTCATCTGCATTCCGTGCTGTTCCTGCCTCAGCTCCGCTCCCCCCAGTGTGTCAGCCTTTGCTAGATCACGTTGGCCTGCACCAGGAGGAATACCTGGCGGGGTTCCATATCCGGGCACCTATCCTCAAACACGCCCACACAGAGCTGCTTCCGGGGTGTCACAGCCTCAGGGCCTGGAGGATCAGCAGTGTCAGCAGCTTCTCATCAGCCCTGCCACCTGCTTCAAATCCACTCCAACTGCCGAGGCTTTCCTTCTTGGGTGAGGTGGTGGAGAGCTGCCTCTTGCCACTAGAACCCCTCGCCTGTACGGTCACTTCCCCCACAGGACTTCGGAGGCCCTCTCAGCGGACACCGCTCTGCTCTGAGCTCTGTGCATAAGTAGCCCCGAGAAACTTGCAGACACTTGGCTTCTTTCCACCGTCTTATTCCTTCTCACCTTCTCATATCCTCCAGGCATCCTCCTTAACGTCACCCTTGAGGGGTCCCCGCACAGAAGAGCGACCTTTCTCACAAGCCAGGCCTGAGTGTATCCTGTCCTCTCCCAGGCTTGCAGGCTTCATTCAGCCTGAGCCCTGGAGGAGAAGACTTAAGGTCTCCCTCGCCGCTAAGACTTTAGTTGATGAAAGATGAGGGTGGAGCAAACGGTAGTCCTGAGGACTCTCCTGGAGCTTTTAACGTCAGGAACACTAGTGCTTGGGCTGCCTTCTCCAGGCGTCTTACCTCCGGGGACCCAGCTTCCCTCTCTCCTGAGGGACTTTTCTTCTGAAGAGACGGGGGGCTGGTGCTGTCCGTGGCAGGCAGCTGCTGCTTCTCTCCACTGGGGCAGAAAGGAACTTGGGTTATAGCTGCACTAGGGGCGGGGGGTCTTGGTGGAAGCACAGGGTTCAGGGAGGAGACTGCTTCAGCCCCCAGGCCTGTTCCCTGTGTCCTTGCTCTCAGTAGTCTGGACACCCTCCATCCCCCACTTCCACTCTGTCCTTGAACTAGATCAATTGCTTGTCCCACGCCCCAGTCCATCTGTCATGTGGCTCTTACCTTGCATGGGAATACTGACCATACTGACCCATGGGTCTACAGGCCCCAAGCCAGGCACCTGTCGTGTGAAGCCCTTGCCTCGTTATGACTCCCCAGGGGAGGGGGTGTGTGATTTTTTTGCGTTCAAGCCCTCCTTTCTTCCCCTACACCCCGTCCCCCCCCACGTTTTCATATCCTTCTCGGAAAACCTTGGCCACAACGCAGCACCAGAGACAAGAGGAAAAGAATCCGGGAGAGAGACGAGCAGGCGTTGCAGAGACTTTAGTGCTGGGAGGACGTCGGGGAACAGAGCCTGGGCACGTCGAGGTAGGGGAGCAGCCCTTCTCTGAGGGAGGAGACTTTGACTGAAGGCACAGCTAGGAAGAAATGCCGGTGGCTTTGAGAGCCCTTTCGCTCGGCAGTCTGGAGTCCTCCTGAGCCAGAGGGGCTGGCTGAGAGACAGGGCTGCAGAGGAAGAAGGACTGGGTGGGTATGGACGGCGAACTCGTCAGCTGATGTGATGAGAGCAGACAGAGTAGACAGGATCATTGGAGATGGGCTCTGCAGGGGGGCAACCTGCCAATACTAGAGCCAGCCTGGCACTGACAAGCCCTGGGGAGACAGGCCAAGGTCAGGGATCAAGGCTGAGGGGTAGGGCGTTCTGTGGGTCCAAGAGAACAGAGGCATAGTAGGGGCGAGTAAGGGAGGGAGGAGGTAAGCCATCAGGTAAAACCATCACGGGCAGGGAAACCTCTCCATTGGTTACCATTTATGGTACCTGATGTGCCGCATGTTTTATTGTTTAATCTTCTGTGCAATCCAATGAGGCAAGAAGTAGCCCTATATCACATCTAAGAAACTGTGACCCCGTGAAATAGCACCAGGCCACACAGCCAGGATGTGACACCGCTAGAATTCTAACCCAGATCTGCCCAGTGTTAAAGCCTTTTCTCTGAATACTGCCCATACACAAGCAGCAGAAAATGAAGCAGGAGACAAATCAGAGGAAAGAGGAAAGATCTGAAGACAAGATGAACCTGCAGGGAAACAGGCAGGAGTGAGAGTTCTGTCTCATGTTTGGGATCAAGTTCAGGTCATGTAAATATCATATCATACTTCTCATTATGTGTTCAATGCTTCCCCCGCCAACCCCCCAGCCTGTGGAACCCTGATTGGCTATTGACTAGAGACAAGAGAGCACGGAGGATGAATGGATATACAGACGAAAGAGAGGAAAATGGGACGGAGAATGACATTCGACCTCATGCGGGAGAGAGGAAGACACCTCCTGTGTATCAAGCACTGCGCGTTTTCCCTAACACACACGATCGAACTGAATCCTCATAGTCTTATGACATAGGTGTTAGCCCCATTGTCAAGGGGGGGGTATTAAATAACTTGCACGCGGTGAAACAACAATTAAGAGGTGAAATCAGAAATTGAACCCAAACCTGACTGCGATTTTGACCCCTCTGCTTCCGAATCCATGGAGGAGAAGGGAGACGTTCTGCCGGTTAGGAGATGAAAACGGGAGCCTGAGAACTTTGGGGAGGCGGGTTTCAAGAACGACACAGGATGATTGAACGGCGAGGTTGCTGACGGCAGAGTGAAAGCACAGGACATGGTAGGTGCCATCGAGTCCGCTCCAGTTCATAGAAATGCTGTGGACAACAGGACAGACACTGCCTGGCCCCATAGTTGTTATGCTGAGCGTTGTTGTAACCACTGTGCCAATCCATCTCGTTGAGCGGCTCCCTCTTTTTCACTGACCTGTTAATAGGT